GGGCGTGTCCCAGGTGTGACCCCTGACCCAGGTGAGGTGTCACCTGCCCCAGGTGCACCCGGGCTGTGTTACCCAGCCTGGGCGTGTCCCAGGTGTGACCCCTGACCCAGGTGAGGTGTCACCTGCCCCAGGTGTGCCCGAGGTGTGTCACCTGCCCCGGGTGTGTCCCAGGTGTGACCCCTGACCCAGGAGTGTCACCTGTGGCCCCAGGTGAGGCATCACTTGCCCCGGGCGTGTCCCAGGTGAGACCTCTGACCCAGGTGAGGTGTCACCTGCCCCAGGTGCACCCGGGCTGTGTCACCCAGCCCAGGTGAGTTCCAGGTGTGACCCCTGACCCAGGTGAGGCGTCACCTGCCCCAGGTGTGCCCGGGGTGTGCCACCCGCCCGGGGCGTGTCCCAGGGGTGTCACCTGTGCCCAGGTGGGTCACAGGAAGTAGTCGGCCACGGGTTTCTTGGCGGGGATGCCGCGCGTCTCCTGCGGCGCCGCCTCGAAGATGATGAACTCCTTCTGCAGGTGCTCGTCCAGCTCCAAGATGGCCGCCACGTTCCCGCACCTGCGGGGTCAACATCTCATTAGCATCTCATTTGCATCTCAACAAGGGGTTGCTCGTGAGGATTCACCTTGGGGGACTCACCTGGTGGATCCCCCAGGGACCAGCCCAGGTCCCACCCGTGTCCCCCTAAACCCCTTCACCACCTCATTAGCATCTAATTAGCATATCATTAACATCTCATTAGTGTCTCATTGCTGTGCTGTTAACGGGGACTCACCTGGTAGAGCCCCCCGGGACCAGCCCAGGTCCCACCTGTGTCCCCCTAAACCCTCTTTACCCCCTCATTAGCATCTCATTAGCATATGATTTGCATCTCATTTGCATCTCAGTGCCGTGCTGTTAACAGGGACTCACCTTGGGGAACTCACCTGGTGGAGCCCCCTAGACCAGCCCTGGTCCCACCTGTGTTCCCCTAAATCCCTTTAGCACCTCATTAGCATCTCATTAGCATATTATTTGCATCTCAACAGGGTCCCACCTGTGTCCCCCTAAACCCTTTACCTTTAGCATCTAATTAGCGTATCATTAACATCTCATTAGCATCTCATTGCCAGGGACCAGCCCAGGTCCAATTTACTTCCCTTCAACCCCCTTTACCACCTAATTAGCATCTAATTACCATGTAATTAGCATCCAGTTACCACAGCCTGACCTTAAGGACTCACCTGGACTCAATCCCCTCCCACACAGGTGTGTCCCCCTCAATCTTCTTCCCACTTCACTGCATCTCATTAGCACCTAATTACCACCTAATTAGCATTAATTAGCATTAACTAGCATACCACAGGCATTGAAAACTCGCATGCACATCCCAAAACCCCGCCCACATCCCCACCCCTCCCACACAGGTGTGTCCCCTCACCTCCCACAATCACCCCCTCATTAGCATATAATCACACCTAATTAACACCTCATTAGCATCTAATTACCACCCAATTAGCATATTTAGACCTCGAGGACTCACCTGCACCTCCCAAATCCCCTCCCCACATCCCAACCCCTCCCCCACAGGTGTGTGGCCCCCCATCCTCTTCCCACTTTGCTGCATCTCATTAACACCTAATTCACATCTAATTAGCATATAATTAGCATATCAAAGGCATCGAGAACTCGGGAACTCTCATGAACATCCCCACCCACATCCTGGCCCCTCCCACCCAGATGTACCCACTCCCACAATCACCACCTCATTAGCATATAATTACACTTCATTAGCATATAATTACACATCATTAGCATCTCATTAGCATCTAATTAGCATCTAATTACCGTCCAATTAGCATGTTTTGACCTTGAGAACTCACCTGGACCTCCCAAATCCCTCCTCACCTGTGCCCACAGCCAACATACAACTTACACCTCCTCACCGCCTAATTAGCACCTAATTAGCACTTAATTAGCATCTCATTAGCATACGGGTAGCAGTAATTGGGGGTGGACCATACGATGAGCACCCCTCCCCAGCTGCCCAGCCCCCACCCTCTTCCCACTTCAATACATCTAATTAGCACCTAATTAGCACCTAATTAGCACCTAATTACCATCTAATTAGCATGGCATCCTTTAACCTCGAGAACTCACCTGGATGTCTCCCCCACCTGATTCCATCCCCCTCCCTCCTCACCTGTGCCCACACCCCACGTACAACTCACACCTCCTCCCACCTAATTAGCACCTATTTAGCATCTCATTAGCATCTAATTAGCATATTACCACCATTATTCGACCTCAAGGACTCACCTGAACGTCCCAAATCCCCTCCCCACATCCCGACCCCTCCCACACAGGTGTGTCCCCTCCCACCCTCTTCCCACTTCAATACATCTAATTAGCACCTAATTAGCATCTAATTACCATCTAATAAGCATCTAATTAGCATGTTGGTGGCCTCCTTTAACTTCAGGAACTCACCTGGATGTCCCAGAGTCCCCCCCACACCCATTTCCATCCCCCTCCCTCCTCACCTGTGCCCACACCCCACATACAACTCACAC